ATAGCCCTCGTGTAGACTTTGCGCGAAATTCATAACAAACAAACAAACATTCTTGTATACTGATTTATGTCGTTAGTCACTTGTTTCAGTTTGTTTTATAGACACGAATCCATTAATATATAAGCTATATTTTAGTTCTAATCTACATAGTTACTTTATTTTTGATTAACATTAATAATTCTATGGTGGCAGTACCAGTGATAAAGTAATTGGAATGTATATTACAGAAAGTAACCACAAAGCATGCTTATGTGTGTGCTAAATAAAAGCTCTGGAATATTCAATATTTTCCTGAAACTACTTTCTACTTATAATCAGTTCCATGTTTGTGATGCCTTTGCAGCCGAAGTACCAATTTCGCTTCATTATCAAGTGCATTCAAGAGGTTAACTACGCGTCCTCAATCTCTACAACTTTGGCTTTCGTTTGTTTCTTTTATCAGCGAAGTTCAATTTGGTTTTAATTAACAGTTCAAGTCGTGGATGATTAAATTAAGAGAGAAATATTTCAAAGAATCAAAACGAAACAGCTTTTGAGAACTTCTAAACACCGTCGAGCAAAGAAAAAACAAAAACTGTATTTGAAATATATTTATATTTTATTTCCAAAATAAAAGGAACTTTAATAAAATGTTTATGTTGTAGATATCCAAGTTAAGCAGCTTTCTAGCTTAATAAACTGTTAGCTAACATTTATTTAACAAAAAAAGTAGGGTAACATCATCTCCGAACATTGTTCGTCTTATGTTAGTTCGTAGTTGCCTGTAAAACTGTTTTCTTTGCAGTATTGATGTGTAGTGATAGAGAAAACAATAAAAATAATCTTGATTGTGCAAATTTTGTTGTTCAAGAAACCTAAAAACTCTAAAGAGAAGTATATTGATTTATTTAAATAGGTTGGATTAGTAAAATAAAAGCCTGTCTACGGTATTTTAATTGTAAATTAATAATTTTAAATCAAATTTCCTTTAATAAAAAAACCAATCACTGAAGCACACTCAATCTCGCAATTACTTAGCTATGAAAATTTTCACATAGATATTTTAAAAACATTTCACTATTGTTTCTAGCTTCTTATAAACCTTCTTAAATTATACTTTACATGTTGCCAGAAAACATTAACTGTCCTATTTCTCAAAATTACAGTTCTCAATAGAATTATATTCTACAGTTGTAAACAAAATGGTTTGTACACTTGTGGAAAATACTTCCAAGTTCAGAGGCAGTAAATGTGACTGGTTTTAATCACTGTACATTCTCACTTAACTTCATTTCTTATAGTTTTTATATGGAGACTTTCAAGAATACGTTATTCATGTTTTCACTTTTCCGTTGGTAGTTATGCAAAAAGTGTGACATTTGTGAATAGCTTTTTAAATTATTTAAGTACACTGTTACACACACAAATGAAACATTATCTAAATACCTTTTAAACCAATATTTTACTTCATTTTACTTTGTGGCTTTTCTTTTGGTGAAATGTTAATTTCATTAAACAATTTTGCTCCACGGAAAACACTTTTTTTTAAAACTGATTTGATCAGTTTTTTTTTATTACACGTAATGAAATCAACTTGTAATTTATCGTGGTATTTATTTTAAATTAAGTTTTTAGGAAGCGTGTTGAGATAATGAATATTTTATCTGTCTTATATTTCTAGTTTATAGACGACGCTTCTCGCCTTGTTATGAGTCCTATATCAGCTCTCAGCACAGAGCCTAAACCGTCGTCTCCAATTTAGAAAGAATGCAGGAGGAGTTAACAGAAAACTATTGTCATGGTAATCAAACTATAAAACGAGTGCTATCCTTTAGTAACATGCATTATTTATACATCGATTTGCCTCTTCTGCGCGTTAATCACGTTGCACAAGAACCATCTCATGCTGTCCTTGGAACTCCTTCTACCGTTCATCGTGTTCAGTCAGCTAGTCATGATCACGCACTGTTGATACACATCGCAATTCTTGTTACATCTAATAAGTTTCTGCGAAAGTCGGCGATTTCAATTTCAGACCACACATTTTGGTAAATTTGTAATAAACCAGTCAGTGTACGTGAACTTCAACTTCCAATACCAAGTTTAAGCAAATTAAAGGCACAGAAAGCTATTTAGATGGTATCTTAGACTTGACAGGTATGTTTTTGAATGAGATTTTTATAATTCCAATTTCTTCCGCCATGTTTTCCATGAGGACAGATGGTGATTTCGAGATGTGGCCGAAAGCTTCTGAACTTTTGGTTTCTTAGGTTTCGTTTACTTCAAATCCTTGACTATTAGCTTGCAACCGTATAATGAAGATAGGGCTCAAATTTATTCCTGTTTTGGTTGCATAATTATCTTTTGCAAATATATCCTTCACTTCACGGATGAAAAGATTTTTCTAATGGCCACCATCAAATGACTCAGCGATAATTCTACAGGCTTACAACGCTAAAAATCAGGATTCAAAGTACAGGGCAAAGGATGGGCAAAGTACAGATAGACCATTGTATAGCTCTGCACTTAACCATAACCAAATCAAATATACCATTTCTTTTGATAGGCTTGATATGTGTTTTTGGAGTTAATTGCTGTTCTAAATGCTCTGCTGTGTGGGTTTTTCCACTTAAATGGATTAGATTGAATACCTCCTTCCTCGGAATGTTGTATTCTTTGACTCTGTATCGTTTAACATTCACAGACACACCCAATAATAACTTTACTTAAACGGCTTTGCGCTGTTGAATGGTCGGAAATTCACCATACACCAAACATATTGATGTATTAAAATACTCAAACGATCAACGTTGTTTGGTACACAGTTAAAATCTTTTTTTTATTTGGAATTATGCACAAAGCTGCACAATGAGCTATGTGTGCTCTGCCCACCACGGGTATCGAAACCCGGTTTCTAGCATTGTAAGTCCGCAGACATACCGCTGTGCCACTGGAGGGCTTAAGTATTATATTATATTTTTAATATTTAAAGAAGTCCCTTGAATTTTAACCTTTTAACAAAAAAGGTTGATGTTAAAATGTTGTTCATCGGGTCTTTACTTATACCTGCGGTAACGCCCTATTGAATTAATGCCCCCCCCCTCAGTGGTACAGCGGTATGTCTGCGGACATACAATACTAGAAACCGGATTTCGATAACCGTGGTGGGCAGAGCACAGATAGCCCATTGTGTAGCTTTGTGCTTAATTACAAATAAACTATTGCACTAGCATATGCACATCGTTTTGTTTAAAAGTGCGATTAACCCTCCGTATAAAGATTGTCTTAATTTTCATATTTTCTTTAAATATTTGGTATTAAAACAAATATTCTATCATCTACTGAAAATTAAAGTTTATTAAATACTAATTATTTTATTAATATAAGCCGCTTTATTAATATACAGTCATGGAAATAATCATGAAAACACACAGACGAGTTTGTTTGTTTGCTTGTTTTTAACTTATGCACAAAGCTACACAATGGGCTATTTCTAGCGATGCAAGTCCGCAGACATACCTATATGCCACTTGGGGGCACACAAATGAGACACACAAACACGCACACTTAGGAGATGCAAATACGAGTAATGACGCTATTAACATCACAGAACGTACAAAAGAAAAGCAGTTACTTTTACAATGCCCCTAGTGTTTTGTATGCGAACTTTTTCCTTTATACAAGGCGTTTCACCTTGTTTTTATGTTGTCATAGAGTTTATCAATATTTTAATTATCCACACAGCTTCAAGAATGCTAATAGTTGAACTTCGTGCAGGTCAAGTCGTGGTTGTGAGTGTTCCATCGAACCCTTTACTGTAAGCTAGAAACCGGGTTTCGATACTCGTGGTGGGCAGAGCACCAATAGCCCTTTGTGTAGCTTTGTGCTTAATTACAAACAAACTTTACTGTAAATATATCGTTTCATTACATTCGCTGTATACTTGGGATCATTGTCTTGCTGAAAGATCAGTTC